GGAAGCGTGAAGAACGGCATGAGGGATGGCGAAGGGAGGCTGGCGGTAGACGGGTGGGGCGTTGAGTATGAGGGCAGCTGGCTCAAAGGCCTGCGACACGGCAAGGGGGTGCTGAGGGTTGCCTGTGGGGATGGGCAAGCAACGCGATACGAAGGTAACGAGAGGGGTGATAGATAACAGTAAGAAAAATATAATAAAACGATAAGAAGTTTGCGCGATTAGCCTGATTCTTGCTGCGAGGTGCTGCGTGAATTGAGTCGGGGCGGAATCGTGCGACGTTAGCTATGTTAGCGGCATGTGTTCTGCTGGTGTCCGCCACACAACACTTTCCCCTGGTTGTTTCAGCTGCAAGTTACCTTTTTTGTCTGTCGCTGTAAGATTGGCCTCTTGCTAATATATTCTACCTTAGGATAACTGGGCACATTGCGCAGACATCGAAATTCGCACTAATCATTTGTTAGTGACGCCATCGGAAAGTGCTCTCTGCATATCACCCTGCCTGAATTGCGGCGAGATCAGCCCTTGGATCAGCCGATCCCGCAGCAGTATTCCAGAGATTGTTCTTCAATGTACGCCGCCAATTTTTTCAATTTGTGTTGGTGTTATCAGGTTTGTTATTTACGTTTATGTCTACGTTCTTACGTTTACGTTTTTACGCTTGAAAATGTAAATTGCAGAAGAGGCTCATTTTTACGTCTGTTCTTACGTTTTTACGGCTCGTTGTGACACCCAGGTTACACGATAGAAGTTGCGTACAGTCATTAGTACTCCGCCCCCTTGAGCAACCGCAACACAGCGTCCACTTCCCACTCGGCAAGGGCCACGATGGAGTGGAACAAAATTCGTTGTTGCCCATTCCAGTGCGTCTGGATGCCATTCCCCGGAGTCCCGAAGGCTGTATGTACTGTCCTTGTGTACACGGGGCTGTTTTTACTTTGTACTTACGTATTTTACGCGTTTTACGCGCAAAAAATGCTATTTACGTTTTTCTCGTAAATAGCCATGAAAATGGGCCCTGTGTACTTAATTACAGTACATAAAGACTCAGGGAGTCCGGGGAGTGTCAGATAGACGCGCTGAAGTATGCATAAAATGATCTTCTGCGACGTCGTTGCCTTCTTGAGGGCGAGTTGTGCGCTGTGTTGCCGGTGTTGGGCAGGGCGAAGGATTGACCGTTGATTGGTACATCATCATGTTATTTGGGCGTGCCGACGAGGGGTAAATGTGCGTAAATATGGCCGTAAGATTGGCCCTTGCTCTATTTAGGCGCTCCTAAGCTCAAAAACGTAAAACGAAAACTGGAGCCGTAAAATATAAATAAAAGTCTGTGTACTGCTATAGTCACATTCATGAGCACGCTAACCTCTTGGCCTTTGTCTCCAGAATTCTGGCATCATTTTGCGGGCAGCAAGTGGCCCAATCACAGCAATTGAATCAGTGTCCAGAGCCCTTACAAAGATGTAATGCGGTAATTACGCAATCAATTCGTGGCAATCAATCGCAGGGGATTGGTTTTCTGACATGAAGCACGGCCACGGTCGGATGCTGTACGGCAGCGGCAACGTGTACGATGGTGAGTTCGTGGAAGACAGGAAGGAGGGCATGGGGACCATGTGCTGGCATGACACCGGGGAGCGGTACACAGGAGAGTGGCGCAACAACCTGCCAAACGGTATCGGCACCCACGTGTGGCTGGGGAAAGAGGACGACGCCGAGGGGGTGGACGAGCACCATGCTGTCTTTTTGAGGCGCAACAGGTGGCCACCTGTCATATTTCCCGATCAATGTGCATTGGCCTTTGCAACAGTAGGCTGCGTCACGGCGCACCCCGCCTGGTACTCTCGAAGGCAATTTTATGTTCACAATTCGCACCTGCGCGATTTAGAATTTAAGATTCGTACTCTGTAAGGGTCTGTGGCATGCAGGTACGAGGGCACCTTCAAGGACGGCCGGCGGCACGGGGAGGGCGCCCTGTACTACGCAACTGGTGCTCGCTACGAGGGCCAATGGGAAGCTGATGAGAAGCACGGCGACGCCATCTTCGTGTTCGAGGACGGCACAGAGTGGAGCGGGCGCTTCCAGCGCAACAAGCCTGTGCTGCGCGAGGGCGAGAAGTTTGGGCCCCGAGGGTCCAGGGTGCACATGGAGATCTCGGACCTGCTAGAGCAGGAGAGGGACCTGGAGATGGGGGAGAGGGCCGTGAACAACGCGGTCGTGTGCCACAACACGGAGCTGAGAGACATATACGACAAGTACTGGTGAGCGCAATGGAGTCGGCTGCGTTTTGGACGAATGAGATGCGCGCTGACAGAGAAGCAACTCCTATGTCGGAGAATTATTGGAGAACTTCCTTGACGAACAATTGTGTTTCCTCAAGAAAATTTTATTTTCGTTGCTTTTTGAAAGGCCGAGTACCGTGATAGAATTATAGCAATTTGAAACTAAATTGATGCGAACCGTAGTGAGCACATAGCGTGATAATTTGTGATGAACCGATTCGTGCAAGATAGCAATTGCTTTTTGGTGGAGTAACTCATCTGAAGCTGCCTGCAACGGTGAATCCGGTGGTCTGAGGAAGCAACCCAGCTCCTTCTCAACTCCTTCAGTATTACGAGTTTCAGGAAATTTAAGTAGTTTAACTTTGCCACAATGTTGTTTGATCCGTCGCTCATAATTCGAAATAACAATGGTGGTCAACAATTGGGAATGTAAATATAAATTGACCCTTGACATGTCTGCCTTTACTATTTGCCCACGTAAGTTGCCAGCAACACAAAATGAAACATGTTCCATCCATTTAATTCATTCTATAAATCTTTCTTCACAAATAAAGCAAAGGTAATATTGAATTAATCATTCCTTTGAATGACTGCCACAGTCAGATCAAGCTCAAGGACGGTGCGGCTGAAGGCGGTAGCCACAGCAGCACGCTCAAGCTGGGGCAATTCTGGGAAATCATTCGCGACAGCGGCTTGATCTCAAGGCACGCGCTGCTTTGGCACATCGACCAAGCCGTGCACGCAGCCCTCAGCCCTAGCGCACTGGTTGCCACGAGAAGGAAGAAGGTGAGAGGGCACCGTCTGGGCCAGATGGCCAGAGGGCACCATTTGGGCCAGATCTGACGCCAGGCGTCAATCCTCTGGTTGCAATCGTGGAATTCATGTTGCGTAGCACTCCATAAATGATATGATAGGACGCGCGTCAATTCATTGCAAGATGTTTTAATCAGGAGGAATATTCTTGAAGTCTTCAGCGATTTCACAGGACAAAGTCAACGAAAGTGCAAATCGCAATGCCAGATCGATGTCGAGCGATGACAGATCCGCTTGTGGCATTGGAAATGTTCAACCATCAATGCCGTATCATTTAATGTTTCATTTCGTATGTGAATCTCTTCAAGTCAATGAAATCATGAAGCAGTATCATAAATAAACATCATTTACAATGGGCAACTTTGGTCGCGATTCGCAATTACCCAATTTCGCAGTGTTGTTGGTGCCGCTGTTTGATATGTAGGATGCGAAAAGCGCCCAATACACAAATGATCTAAGGCTCCCGTGGTTCTTCATTTCTTTTTGGATGTCAAATGCAGAATTTAAGCTTCTTGAAAAGTCCAAGACTTGTAACTCTGCACAGTTTACATGCTGTGTACATTGCAATAATGTACGCAATATACTCCATAATATAAGAGAAAGAGACACAATCGCTAGCAGGAAAAGGACCAAATAACACCTTTTTTCGAGCGCATATGAAACGCCCTTCATCAATACTCTGCACGCTAACAACACAGACATAACCCAAACCCGTGAACTTCGCACACGTTTAGGCATGTTTTATTTGGCCCTTTTTCCCTAATGAATGTGAATATTGTACAAAATGGACATGGCAATACATACGTTATATACATTACATATAATACATGCATGAAACAGCGCCCCAGCAACACGGCGAAAACCTCTACAGATCACTTGATCTTCGTGACCTTTCACGCCTCATTGCCCTCCAGCTTTATTTCTCCAAAAATTGGCTTCGAAGACGAAGAGCGGTGCCACTGCAATTTGCAGGCAGTGACGGGCACGTACACACCAAAATTGGTTGATGCCGATACGCTTCTACATACAAATATTCTTGAGACGTCATATATGCACTTCCGGCGAATGCAAACTCACAACAACTCCATCTGACATGCCCAGCGTGCGCCGCGCAGCTAGAGGAGTCGGGCAGGTGGACCGCCAGCCCGCCACACGCGTCCATGTGCCATTGCCCCGACGCGGAGATCCTGTTCCCCCAGTTCTGCGAGTCGCTGGTGCGCATAGCCCAGATGAAGTACCGCCACCTAGGCAGCCTGGAGAAGCGCGTGCACAGCCTCCTTAACAACGACGTGCTGCCGATCAGCGCGGACAGGAACAGAAGGGTGGTAGGGGCGAGAGGGAGGGACGCCGACGCGGAGCTGATCACGTGAGGCGCACGGCGTTGGCTGGAAAAGAATGCCACAGTCGCTCTGTTTTGACAAAGATTGGACTATTCCGATTTGGCAATGCTGGCAAAAAAACGCAGGCTGTGGAATGGGGAATGGCAATTGCAATGGTGGAATGGATCCTTGGAAGAGCGATGCACAACTTGGATGGCGCCCTAGCTTTGCAGTGATAGAGTGGCGGGCAGCGCCCACTCCCATTGGCACTGTACTATGTAACATAGCGTACTGTTCTGGGCAATTTCAATAATTTCAGCAGCAATTGAATTTCGTGAGGTATTTTCAAGACAGGGGGGGGGGTGGGATTAGCGACAGGGACACGAGTTGGAGGAAGTCCCAATAAAGCTGCTTTGGTTGCTAACGGTTGCGTCAACTGGTGGCAACAAACCAGACATTGCAATGCCCAATTTGGCCAACGGCTCAGCGCCACACTGATCCGATGACCTGCACCAATGCTCAAGTGCAAAATAGCAATAAGGATACCTCGGCAAGCAGCGAATGACATAATATACTTGGCAATCGTTAAATGTGGCCTATCTTCTATCGCCCACTCCAGTACAAGCGTTAATGCGCTGCATATTCCGAACGCATGCCCCACGGCCATTGCCTCTCCCATGACGAGGGGCAATTCTGCATCACATCTCGCGGTATTGCACAGAACTCGCTATTCTTCTTGCACACTCATGTTTGCCCATTTTGGGGCATTTTCTCCTAAATGTCTCTCTACAGTACACCAATAACTTTTGCTCATTGCTGTTCATGTTCAGTTGTGTCTGCAACAAAGTTTCTCCCTTGATAAGACGTGGGTGCATGGACGTCCGCTCATTTGGGTCCATCGAACGCTCGTCGAACGGCACTGCGGCAACGCCGTGCACTGCGGGCGACGGCGGGTGCGCGGCATTCACACGGCGACCGCGAGATGCAAAATTTCTAGGCCACATTCATGTTCCAATCGATAAATATGGGATAGAAGAATTCAGCCGTGGCAATTATGCGAATTCCGCGGATCAAAGTAAATAAACATGCGCCAGTGCAAATGCGGCTGTAACCACCCTGCGCCTATTCGCTCCAGGTTCCTGGACGCCGTCGACAAGCCCCTCCGGCGGCTCTTCTGCCACCTGGCAGAACGGCGCCCGGTGGGAGCAGCCCACCAATCGGAGGAGCTGCTGCCCGATCGAGAAGACGACGACATCTACCGGGACTCCTGCAACACGGAAGTCGCTCAGCGCGAGGTCCTGAAACTGCTCAGGGACACCGGCGCGGTGGGGAGGCTGCTGTCGGTGGCTGACGTCCTGTCGGCTTGCAACGAGGCCTGCATGTCGCCGCCAAAGGGGAACGGGTATGGGGAAGAGCGCGCTCAAAGAATGCACGACTCGCCGCGGCAGGGCGAGAGGCCAGGCAGACAGCCTGGGAGTTTGTGGCGAGTGTGCCAAGGCATGGGTTTCCCGGCAAGGTATTACAGGCAGTTGCGCGTCCACTCGCTGGCCCACACGCGTTGCTGCGCACGAAGACGTTCGTCAGTGTGCTGTGTGCTGATGGCCAATGCCTGGACTGCCCTGGTGGCCGCGCAATGAATAGAGTTTGGAGACGGCGTGCAACGCTTTTCAGTAAAAAGAATCTATGTAGAAGGCATCTAGAGATCACTCAACTTCGAAAACATATGTAAATCATTGGAAGCAAACGGCATGTTTGCGACGGCAACCGCGATGCCAGTTGGACACAAAATGGTGCCTTCGCAGCGGTTTGCTATGGCGTAAAGATGGCTGTGATGGCATCAATTTGTACCAACTGGCATCGCAGTTGGCATCGCAAAAATGCTGTTTTATTCTGGTGAATCCTTTTATTTCCGTAGAGGAAAGATTATTAGAGCAGGGGGCACTGGATTCGTGCGTTTCGCAGCCAGTGGCCACTGGCATGCAATAAATTCCAATTCCTGATGTGAATATAAATGATTTGAACGGAGTACTTACACATTATGCGGTTAAGAAGAGTGCAGTTCCATTTCCAGGCTGTGGATTCTCAATCCACCAATTAGAACAATGCACAGAACAGTCACATCAGGGATATCATAATATATGAAATCACTTCTCTTGAATGTTAAATGAGCTCCACGAAACTAGATGAAGATGCACACCCATTTGCAAGTACCGCAGATCACGGAGGATAGGGCGGGGGTGTTGAATAGTGCGGGGGCCTTTAGATGATGCCCCCAGCGTTATCAAACATGGTCAATGTTGAAGAACGCGAAGGTATGCAAGATAGCGCGTTGGGGCACTATTCACTTCAACATTACGCACAACCACAATGCAAAGTATTACCCCACATTCCTATATCTCGTTGCATGTGCTATCGCCCCGACGTTATCAAGTCCACTTCAACTAAACATTGCCAAGATTCCCAGCGTCCAGCTTCATAATACCATCACCCAAGCCAAGGCCATTGAGATCTCTAGGCTGTCTCCTGTGCAGTGCGCCACCGCAATATCTGTTATTGGTTGGCGCTGTGATTGGCGCCGTACGTAATATTATGTAATATGCTACAATGGACAGGCGCCGGCTCACTTTGCCAATCAATTTGGCAACGCGGTGGGCGCGGCATGGTGCAGCAACCTGTGGCGTCCCGTGACTTTTTTTGGCGCCGGTGTTGATTGCCGCCGTGAATTGCACCTTGTGCAATGCGTTGAGTTAGTGGGCCGCCGGTACGCTTTACCGTAGGTACGCGGGCTGGAGTGATAACGCGGATGGCGCTACTGAGTTAGTGACCTGATGCGGAATGCAGGGGCCCAGCAAGATAGCACCCCCCCCACATTCCTGAAGTCAGCCCTGATGTGGGACATGGGGAGAGGGGGGGCGCTATCCACAGTGATCTTCGGTAAATCAGTGAATGTATTTGGCGACAAAAGCAGCGCGCGAAAACTTTGCAACACTTCTATAGCTGCTTCAATCATGATCAAATTAAATGCTCATATCCACAGATCCATAAGCCTTGCACAAATTTGTAAGTTTCTGCCTATATATACTTAAATTTGGGCGCATTGGCAGCACAGAATGGCCGGAAGTGGTGCGCAATGTATGGTGATATTCTGTCCAATTTGGCATTGAATTGCAACCGCAGCGCGTTCCAGTTCATGCAAGCATCTGCACATTCAAGGAGTTTCTCATCACCCAACCCACTGCTTAAAGATTCTGATGTAGCACGCAGCGACAAACTGCCCAGATTTTTGCGGACGACCTTTTATGTATGCCCCTCAATACAAAGATGATATGGGGTATTCGCCATTTTAAAATTACTGTATTTCGACTCATAGTTACAAGGATTCTGGGTGCCCTCATAGCTTTAATGGAGCCAGCCTGTTGTTTACGTTTATGGCACCACTTTGCGTTAGGCTTTTAGCCCAAAAACACGTAAACAGAGAAACGGTCATAATTAGGCATTCTTACTGCTCGCTGACACATCCAGGTTACGTGATTATTTCCCAACGATGATCAGTCCTCCTCCCGTTCGAGCACCCGCAACGCAGCCTGCACCTCGCCTTCGGCAATTGCGACAACATCGCCGAACAAAAGATCGTCTCATGCACATTCCAGCACATCTGTCTGGCATTCTCCGGACTCCCTGAGTCTACATGTATTGTCTTTACGTACACAAGGTTAATTTTTGCGCATTTTTACGCACTTTTACGCGCAAAATCGTGAAACTGTTCTTATGTGTAAATATGTGCAAGCGCTCGAGTACGTCATCCATAAATAACAAGTCTGAGTGGAGGTACCTTCCTTATACGAAGTAAGAAATTATCTTACTTCTTTTATAATGCAACATTGCAGTGATTGGTTGATTGATCGAATAATTTATTTTCAGGATTGAAGATTGATTGATTGATGGTTTGACGAACGATTGATGCTGCTTGCGCTCATGCCTTGCTGTGTCAAAGTCCACGATGATGGCGTATGATATATTGATTGATTTGGCAGTCCAAAGACGTCGCCAGATGCCCAGGGAGTCGGGTCGGGCTGTCTGGACTGGGCACAGCCCGCGGACACAGATATGTTCTGCCTGGAGAGCCGCATGATCTTCCCAGAGTTCGTGGACGCCCTCTTGCTCTGCTCGGAGCGGCGAGCGGCGTCCATGGGGGGACCCATTGGAGGCGAGACGTCCGGGTCGCGGGCCCCCGCCGCAAAGGCCTTTCTCGTCGGCAGGAACGGGTTGTTGGTCAGCGGATTCTTAAAGGGTGTCGTCGATGTGGCGTATGACGAGTCGGCGTCGGAGGGAACCCAGGTGTCTTAACGCGTGCGCAGAAATGCAGGCTCAATTTTCGCCTTGCAACTAGTGGCTCGCTGGCGTAGAACACTCTTTCAACAAGGGGCGTTACAAGCAAGTACTTGAATTCCTGAGCCTTGTTTCACTTCACTAGGCGTAGAACGCTCACGCAAGAAAAAAGATTGACAAGCGATTACATAAGTTCCTTCGCCTTATTACCCCTTAACTGAGATAGGCTTACAGGATTTTGGTCAGCTGTGTCACGTCACATGTCACGTCATAGGATTTTGGTCGGCCGTGTCCATTTTATTGAAATGGATGAATTCGAACATCAGCCGGATGCGCACGGATCTGGCCTTTTTGTGCGTGCGCTGATTCAGCACGCTTCAAAGGCTTCGTCGGGAATGACAACGCGCAAAGTGGTGGAGTGACGGGGTGCCAGTAAACGAGGCAAGGGATCAAGGAAAGTCAATGCGTTCTCGTGCGGACTCCCTAGTTCTCCTACATATCTGGAGCTTACAACAATGTACTTGAGCTAAACTGCATTACCATAAGTGATATTGTTCATCATGGGCCGATGGAGCCTATCAGCCTATCAGCCTATCAGCATGTCGTTGACGCGTGGCTGGACGATTTCCACTATGGTGGGCGCAAGAGTAGATCATTGATGAGATCATATTATCTTTTGATTTTGAACGCCCGTCTGGTCAATGACTGCAGCAACGTT